GGGGGTGGCGGTTCGCGCACTGGGGTGGGGGCCTTGGGGGTGCGTGAAGCGGAGAGGGCGCCCCAGCAGGAGGCCGGGGGACGGACTGGGGAGCACCCTTAGGCCAGCGCTACCCGCGCCGCCGCCGCCACCAGCGCTGGCTGGGTTCTGGGAAGCTAGTCCCGAGCGGAGGAATCTATTGTTATTTATTGTGTGGCGGTTGCATGCTGTACTCGCGGTGGCCCTGCCCTCGCCCGGGAGTGCGTGTGTGCGCGCGAGTGTATGCGCGGGGGTGCGCGCGCGGGCGGGAGTGGGCGCGCGCGGGGAAAGGCCCGAAAACACCTTAGTTTGCACCGAGAGACCATTTGCAGCGGGTGAGTTTGTATTTTTCCATTTCTGCTCCACTTTTTCCCAAGCCGTCTCCTGCCTTGTTTCCGCCAGTTTAAACAACAACAACAAGCAGCACAAAAAAAAAACAAAAAAAACAACAACAAAAAAACAAAACTACTCTCCACGTGCATCTCCCCCAGCCCTCCCCTCTCAGCCTCTCTCCCACAGGTCTGGGCCCAGGCTCCGGGGTCAGGGTGGGGTGCTCGGGCGGACGCGAGGGTGGAGTGGCCTCCGGTGGCGCCCGCAATCTTGGGTCTATTTGCATAAGTCAAGTGTGTGTGTGTGTGTGTGTGGGGGGAGACAGCGGCGGCGGCGGCGAGGTCCTCGTCCCCTCGGCCCCCTCACGCCTAACTCTGTGTTCTCCGCGATCGCCGCGGGGAGACAAATCAATAAGCCCAGGCCAGGTCGCCTGGCGCAACTTTCGGTGACCGGTGTTGGGCTGCCTGCCGAAGAGCCGGGCGGGTGCGGGGCCACGGGTGGGGTCCGCGGCGGGAGGAAGCGCGCTCCGGGCGCCTCTGGAACCCAAAGTTTGGACTTGGAGCAAACTTTTTTTCCTTCGCTCTCCGCCGAGTGTGTGCCCCCTTGGTGCCCACGGGCTGCCCCGCGGGCCGCGGCGGCATTACTGGGGACGCCCGCGCCCAGGGACCCGCGCCTGCGGACATCCCCGGTGCCACGCACGCCTTTCCCCGAATCCGACGGTGGGAGCACTCCTTCGTCGCTCCCCCGGACCCCAGAAAACTCAGACACACTCGCACCTCAGCTAGGCATGCAGCCCCACGCACGATCGGCCCACCGAACCCAGATTCCCCACCACTGGCCCGCGACAGCTCGGCGGGTGGGAGTGGGAGAAGGGTGCGCTTGCGGGGAGTTGCCGCGCCCGGATTTCCCTCCCCTACACCACACATACTTTATGGTTTTACTCCCCTCCTAAGCTTGGGGAACGGGGGAGTTTCCCAAGCCCCCGTCTGTCCTGAGAGGCGCGTGAGTCGCCGCGTCCCTCTGCCCTGTCCCGGCGGCTGATGGTTCTCTGTGTCTCGCCCGCGCGCCGCCTTCCTCCCGTGCTCCTCGCGCTCGATTCCTGTCCCGCACAGGACTCAGCCGAGCCGGCGAGCCGGG